CTGCAACCTCCGCCTTCCGGGTTCAAGTGATCCTTCTGCCTCATCCTCCCGAGTATCTAGGACTACAGGCGCGCGCCACCACGCCAGGCTAATTTTTGTATTTGCAGTAGAGATGGGGTTTCACCATATTGGCCAGGCTGGTCTCGAACTCCTGACCTCGTGATCCGCCCACCTCGGCCTCCCAAAGTGCTGGGATTGCAGGCGTGAGCCACCGCGCCCGGCTCTACCCTGCATTTCCTTCTGCTCCAAGACATTTCCCCACATCCCATTTCGTTCCTCCCAGGCCAAGTCTCATAGCCAAAACCTGGCAGGCCGCGAGCGTCTGGCCCTTTAAGTCTACCTTCTTCCCCCCACGTGCCGTCTGGTTGGGCTGGCGACGCTGACGCACGCGTGACGTCAATGGCAGCTGGTGGAGTCTGGGCACGAGGAGCGAAGTTGGGATGGGGGTGGGGGGCGAGAGAGAAGGCGGTTAATTTGCATTTAAAGGGGCCACTCCCTGGTTAGCGATCAGGGCTCTAAAGAAATGTGTATTCGACAAACTTTCTGTCCTGGGTTATGGGGCAAGAAAAAGCCGTGGTACAGCTGAAATAGGCGGCGACTGGAGTTTGCGCTGACAATTATGTCCTTCCGCGGAAAGGGGGAAATAGTCCGTCGGTGCCCTGGCTGGGAGCACGTGACCGGGAGGGGGCGGATGTGGGGGGGGCAAGAGAGAAGGAGGGAGGAGCTGGGGAGACGACTGTCAGGCTGTGTTTCAGCTGCCCCCACCCCCACATCCTGCCCACTCTCCTGCAGCTGCCACCACATCCTGCCCAGCCGGGGGCAGGGAGCTTCTGTGGGGTTGATGCACTGACCGAGGACCTGGCTTTGGCACCCCCTCCCTGCCCGCTTCAGCTCCAGGGTGGGCCGTCTGCCCTTTGCCCCAAGCACCCTGACCCTGAGCTTGGGGCACAACTCTGCCAGTACAGCCTGACACCTCTCTGCCTGACTGCCCTTTCCCCCCAACTCTGGCCTAAACTTAAGTGGGACTTGTGCGGGGCGGTGGGACAGGCCAGACCACAGCCCCATCCTCAGGCTAGCACAGTTGTCAATGGACAAATGAGGTGTTCAATAAACGGTTTTATAATCTGAACTCAGATACATAGCTGCACACACATACGCACACACATATACAGATTCATGTTAACACATTTGCTGAGTGCATTCTATGCCAGGTCCTGCAAGGCCCTGAAGACTCAAAGTCGAGTTAGATTGCTGCCCTTAAGGGGCCCAGGATCTGGTGAGGAGTGTGTACAGAGGAGGCAGATATACAGAGCAGGGTGCACTATACAAGCAGGTGCAGAATAATACCCAAGTCCACACAGAGCATGTATACACAGAACTGCTGTACACCTGCTGATGGCCTTTCCTCTCACAAGACAAGGTGGCAGATGTAGGGACTGCTGGGATCACTTGAAAACTGGGGGAAAAATGATCAGCTCAATGGAAGGGATGAGGGATGGACATAGGGGACTGGAGATTGTCCAGATGGCTGCAGGGAAGGTGAGAGGGGGCCAACCAAGGTGCCAGACAGATTAGAGGCTGGACCAGCAGTAATGGCTTCCCAGGGCTACTGGATAGGCAGGCAGAGAAACGGCCCTTGGGGCACGAGGATGAGGAAGACTTTTACAAATTTAAGTTGGATTAGGGATGCTTGGGAAGGGGTGAACAAAAAGAGTTGTCTATATCCCTCTGTCATATAAACTTACGAAGATGATATGGTGGAGAGGAGTTTACACACACTTTTAAAAGACTTCAGTGAGCATGTAAGTGTTTGATTCCTAAAGGATTTTATAGCAGCTTTGGCCTGTTAGGTAACTTTTCTCTAGGAAAAATGGATGGGTAGCCAGAGTGGGAGGAGGAAAAATGAGACCTAGGCATCTGAACTCGCTCAGGTATTTCCTACCTAGGGGATTCTGGAATGGGAAATCCAGGGGCCAGAAGAAAAAGATTTAGTGAGACACTTTGAGGAAGTCCTTATTTCAATCTAACTTCCAGCAACATTACTCCCAAACCCTTTCTTACCCCTCCATGGGAATTAAGGCCCTATGTTTGTTACTTTTGCTCACTCATTTAGTTTTCTCTATATTCTAAATTATATCCCAGTTGTAGTGTCTGCCTTTCCTACTCTGTTCTCTAGGGAATTTTGTCAGCATCTTGGGGGTCCAGCACACTGCATCTCACCCACTGAGCTCTTCCCTCCTTTCCCTTTTCCCTCCTGCTCCTGGCCCTTTAAAACCCTCCCCAGGTGACTCACCTTCCTTCCTCATTCCTTTGTTAAGGACCCAACATTCCAAGACTGGGAGGATCAATCAGCCAATCATAGCCCTGCCCAGCCTACCTCAGGCTTGAGATTGGCTGGAGCTGTGGTTGGCGGGAGGCTCACCACACTGATATAAAGGATGTTGGGGAGGGGGTTTCTGGGAATCGGCCCTGGGAAAGAATTTGTTCTGGGGTTGGTTAGTTTTTGGAGAGACTCCTTCAAGTACAGCTGGAGCCAGAGGGTTCTTCGGCTTGGAGAGCCTGGAAACTGAAGGCGGCTGAGAATCCAGCTCTCTTGGTCTCCTGGGGGCTTGGCTGACCCCTGCCCACTTTCTTTTCTTTTCTTTTTTTTTTTTTCTGTGATCTGGGACCCAGAGGTCTGAAGGCTGAATTCCCAGGCCTGATCCTAAGAAGTCTTTTCCAGCAGCCTTGGATCTCTTCAGTCTCAACATTCTGCTTTCCCGACGTCGGAAACAGCCGGAAAATAAACACCCTGATGACTAAACGGTTTCTCCAGCTAGAGCCTAGGGAAGCACTAAAAATAGAGGCCACAAGTGAGGGGAGGTTCCCCACTTGAGGGGGGTTGGCACTTTCCCATCCTGCTACTGCCATAGCCTCAAGCCTGGCACAAGGCTCTGTTCTTCTCTGTCCTTGGGGGAAGAGGCAGATGGGCTCCCCCTGCCTACCCTGAAGTCTTTTGGGCAAACTAGCCCTGCCTGGCAGGAGTAACTCACATCTTCTGGTGTTGGGGGTCCAGCCTCCCAGACCCAATGAGGAACTGAGAAGCTATATTTGGGGACACGGTGGGACACTGTTTCCTGAAACGGGGGTCAGGTAGAAGGGTTGGAAACTGAGGCCAAGGAAATAGGAGCTTGCTGGCTTCCTGTCTTAGGACACACAAGATAAGTCTCCAACCTATTTGCAGAGCAAGTCCACTGAACTCACCTCCTTTGAGGCTTGCATGGGCCAATGGAGGCCTAGAGGGTTCTTTGCAGACCAGCCCTTGGCCCAACGGTCTGGTTTGGGTTATTATACAGTATAAGACACTGTACTAAGCAATCTGCTTAGAAGAACTAATTTAATCTTCACACTAAATTTCTGAGTTAGCTACTATTACCATCATCTCTTGTCTACCCATGAGGACCATGAGGTAGGGGGAAGTTAAATAATGTGCCTGTGTTCACAGTTAATGAATGATGGAGTGAGGATCTGAACCACAGCAGCCTGACTGCAAAGTGGACATTTCTAACCACCATGACATGTTGCCTCTCTCTATATATTGGAGTCTTTGTCCGGTAAATCAGATCCAGCCAGATAGAAATCAGGGTGTGTGTCTGGGCGCGGTGGCTCACGCCTGTAATCCTAGCACTTTGGGAGGCCGAGGCAGGCGGATTGCCTGAGCTCAGGAGTTCGAGACTAGCCTGGGCAACACGGTGAAATTCCATCTCCACTAAAATACAAAAAATTAGCCGGGAGTGGCGGCATGCGCCTGTCGTCCCAGCTACTCGGGAGGCGGGAGGCGAGGCAGGAGAATCGCTTGAACCTGGGTGGCGGAAGTTGCAGTGAGCCAAGATCGCGCCACTGCACTCCAGCCTGGGCGACAGAACAAGACTCCGTCTCAAAAAAAAAAAAAAAAAAATTCGGGGTGTGTGAAGAACTGAGTGCTCTTCTGTTCTGCAAGGTTCTTTGAGATCTAAGCCAGATGCCATCATTTCCTTACGCTCCTGGGACAAAGCAGCAGGACTTGGAAGTAACAGGGATACTGAAGAGGACGGGTCAGTTGTCCAGTAGGCATGGCACCCACACTCCTGTTGTAGGGCACGTAAAGATTCACCACACCCTGGAGCAACCAGGAATTTGAAAATAAAAAAAAATTAAAGAGCTACTACTGCTTCTTTAATAAAATATCTCTGGGTGTTTACTGTGCGGCGGGAGGTGGGGAGGAATTAGGGTCCCGCCCCTTTAAATTGCCCCCTCGGCAGTGAGTGCTGTGGGGCCCAGCAAGCACTGGAGATTAGGTCACCCAAGAACTATGAGCTGTCGCTTTAAATTGCTGGGCGTCTGCCGAGCCGGGACCTGGGACAGGAGGGGGCCTGTCACAGGTAGAGGGAGCAACTGAGCTCCCTAGGTAACCCCCCACCCCCAAGAATGTCGCCCTTAAGTGGGGCTTTGTCACACACCAAGTGGGGGAGATGGGAGCTTTTCACCACTTCCAGTCTCCCCTTAATTTATCTACTTAGACTCCCACCTCCCAACTCTCCTGGGGCCCGGGGCCGGGAGGAGGTCCCGAGGTGGCGCGTGTTGAGAGTGTGCGTGCAGCTCGCACGGCCTCCCCGGAAAGGACCTCCTAGAGCACGCGGTAGCAGCAGCGCCAAGCGAGCGGGCGGCCGGCGTGCTCCGAGGGGCACCGTGGGAGCGGACCGATCCCTTTAAAGGCCTCTGGGTCTCGCCTTCCTACTTTGCCTCGCTTGGTCCCTTCCTCCCTCCCTCCCGGCAAGCGGAGGGATCCGCCGCTCCCGGCGCCACAGCCTAGCTTGAGAGGGCGGTAGGGCGGGGGCCGACCCGACTCGGCCCGGCCCGGCCAACCCTGGGGAAGCGAGGGGCGGGGCCGCGTCCTCGGGACCGCCCCAGCCCCGGCTCCGCCCCGCAACCCCCACACTTGCCTCCCATTGGCCCCCACACCTGTCCGTCACCCCGTTCTCCCCACCCCTCAAGCTAGGCTGAGCTGTGCCTACGTCGGCCTCGACTCCCGGGGGCTGGAGGAGTTACCTTTGGAGCCCGAAAGGAGGAAGGAAGCAAAATATCAACAACAGCCGAGGCAGCTCGGGCGCTCGGCCCCGGTTCCCCGCTTGCCCGCCGCCCGCCTGCCGGCCCCCGCGCCCACGACGGGGGCCCAGGCCCCACGGCGCCGCCCAGGGCCCGCGCGGACGCCGGCCTCATTTATTATTCCCCCCGCCCGGAGCTGCGGCTTCCTGGTGTTGAAGATCCCCTGGACCAGGGGCGAGGGCTACCCGCTCTTTGCCGTGACAACACCGTTCCCCCAGCCGGGCTGGTGAGTAAAGAAAAATAATGCGCCTGCCACTTTAAGAGGCCCCCTCCCCCACCCGGTCCAGGGGTTGGGGTGGAGGGTGGTCTAGACCGTCCCCCTGAGGGGTGGGATGGGGCAGCCCCCGGGCCGGGAGGAACTCGCGAAGCGGGCCGTGTTTTCGTGTGGCGTTGGCGGGGATTACCTAGGGGACTGTTTGTGTCAGGGAGTCTGCCGTGGGGGACAAGTGGAGTGGGCTGCAATTCCCTTGGGTGTTGGGAGTACGGGGTGGGGACGGGCGGATTGGGGGTGCGCCCGCTTGTTCGCGTAGGGGGTTTACGACGGCCTCCGAGCGGTCTGGGACGGGGCGCCATCCTCCAAGGGGGTCTCCGGTGACAGCCGGGAGCGACTGACATTTTAACAGCCGGCCCTCCCTCCCTCTCCCTCCTCTCGCCGCCTGTTCCCTCCTCCTTGGCCCGAAATGGTGCAGAAGGGGGCCTGGGAGGGCGGCGGGAGGGTGGAGGCGGGGGGAGCCGCAGCTGTTTGGGAAGCGGGGGAGGGAGGGGGGATGTTGTTCAGATGACACCGGGGTGGTGGGTTGGGGTGTGTGAGTGTGTGTGTCTCCGGGGCCCGTGTTTGCCGGGTGCCTGTGGAGTTGGGACGCGGAGTCGCCACGAGGTGGGCACGCAGGACCCTTCCTTGGGACCTCCTAGCCCCGCTTCCGAGACCCCTGATGTGGTTTGTCAGCAACCCCAGCTGGAGAACTCCCTGGCCAGAAGTTTGCAGCTGTTCAACATCTGGGCAAGAGTTCTCTAGTCCCTCTCTCCACCTATGGCAGGCGGAGCTGGGCTGCGAGTGGGGGTTTAGGGAGTTTGGGGGGGCTTTTGGGAGGGTGGGCCAACGAGACCAAAATGCATTTAGTCCCCTACTCCAATGCCAGCCTCCCTCCTACCAGGTTTGGGTCTTAGGGGGATAGGGGAAAGGGGCCCCCTCCCCCTAGTGAATCACGCTGCCCTCTCAGCAGCTTTCTGAGGGCTCCCCCTGAAAGGAAGGCACTCTAGGAGCCACCGACTGGGTTATCCCAGGTTTGCCCCTCTGAGTGGGAGCCTCCCTCTGCCTCCCCTTACTTGGTGCACTGTTGATGGGTTGGGGGAGGGTGTCGCGGGCTTGGGGAGATCCTGTGTCCCTCTTTGCTGTGCCCAACCCCCATTCGAGTTTTCCTCGGAGTCCTGGTTTCTTTGCTTTGGGGTGGGGGTGGCCCTTATCCACTCCTCCTCCTATCCCTGCAGTGGGTCTCCGCAGCAATTCAGGGTCCAGCCTAGACTATGGGAAGTTTGCCGTCTGGGGCGGTGACCTTGGGCTGCTCTGGCCTGGAGATAGGAGGGAGAGTGCAGGTCAGCCTGAGATTGGGTGTTTTGGCGTTTGGGAGCTGTCCACCTCCCACTCCTCTCCCAACCCCAACAGGAAGGTCTCAGTAGCTGAGGAGAGCACTGAAAAGGCACATGTCAGTGTTCACAGATGTCCACCGCTTGTGGCCACGGGGTCACACCCGCCCCAGGACTTAGTCTGGCTCTCCCAGCTCCCACGGCCCTGCCTGGGAATGAATTTCCTTCCTGTGGTTTCCCAGTGTGTTGGGCAGGAGATGGGGGTGGGGTAGGACTATTGTGGGAGTGGCTGAGGACCTATTTATACGGGGTGATTGGGGGACACTGGAGCTTATATGGAACTTCTTCCCCACTTGCCCCAGCATAGGCATTTGGGCCCTTGGGTCTCAGTGGTTATATTCTCTTTGTTGTAACTCCCCTGCCCCCGCCAACACACCCTGTATGTTTGCATATGTGTGTATATGTATGTGTGCGCAGTACATTTGTAAAGGGAGGGGTCTCTAGTCTCTCTGGAGGGAAGGGGGAAGGGAGGAGCTTTTACTCACTCCTGTAGGGACCAAAAAGGTTGAGTTTTTCACATGAGATCACACAACAAATCTGTGTAAGAGCTTTCGTCTTTCCACTCGTTTAGGCACAACTTCATAGTAGGGAGGGATTCTAGGAAGGGAGACATACAGTCCGTGTTCATGGAAGCCCCAGTCCAAGGGGAGAAGCAGGACCCAGAGAGCGTCATGATCCTTATGTTGGGGGATGGGTGTGGGGAATTGGCTAGAGCTTCTGTCTGCTGTACTCAATGCCTGAGAGAGTGGTGGAGGACTTGGAGGGGTGGCAGGTGCTGTCCGTGTCCACTCCACTCTGCACTTGGTGCCCCTGGGCTGGAGGGCCTGGGCATCCTGGCTCTGCCCCCTTGGCTCCTGGTTCTCCTCATAGGCTGGGAGATATGATAGTCTTTCTGGCTGCTGTTATATAATCTCTCTGTAGCAGGGCTTTTTTTTTTTTTTTTTTTTTTTTTTTTTTTTCAATCTTTCCTGGGAGATGTGATGGGGAAGAGAAGGCAGAGGGAGACTCTTCAGGTTGGGGGGCGCTAAAGGAGCAGTAGTAAGGAAGGTTGTGGTGGGAGGTACCTTGGCCCCTGAGGAGGCCTTGGGGATAGGCCCTCATTGATTGTGGCCCAGCCCGTCCGACCTTTCTCCTCTACTGTGCCCTCAAAGGGTCCCTCTGCTGTGGTCGTCCCTTGCTCTTATACCCCCAGAGAGGCCTGGACCTCTGCCCGTTTTGTCAACCTTCTCTTCCTGGCCAGCTGGGCCCCCTGCTCTCCCTGATTGGCACTGGATCCAGAATCTCAGTGCTTTTGCTGGCCTGGTGTGGGCCCTTGGTTGCACACTTTGCCACACACCTGAGTACCTCTGTGGGGACAAGGGAAGTCCAGGATCTGATGGGTGGGCCCAACATTTCCCTAGTTGTATTTGAGCCAGGCCCCCTGTTTCTTTGCCCCTCTAGTCCAGAGGGTGGTGGCCTTACTGGAAGAGAGGAGTTGAGGGCCTTGACTTAATACAGGCCTTGACCTCTTGGACACAGATCGTCGTTGGTGTTCATCAGGTTCTGTAAGTGAGGATGTATGAGGTATGAGGATCCGATGTGAGCTTGGAACCTGTCATCAAGGGTCGGGTTCTCAGTCTCCTGGCACTGTGGTGGTGGGATTCTCCCCATCCCGCGGGACCATGGCTGGGACTCTCGAGACTCTCTGAGGCCAGCTGGTTTAAGGCAACTATCTCTCTTTTATAGGGAAGGAGGAAATGGTGGCAGGCCGGCACAACCTCAGCATCACTGTAATCGCTGGTGGCTTTTATGAGCCAGTCATGGGGCCGGAGTCCGGCCAACTGTCTGTCCTTCTGTCCCAGTTTGGTGACTTACTCATGGAGGGAGGGGCGGTTAGGTACTAGAAGCTGTGTTCTAGAAGCTGGACGGCTGACTGTATTGTGGTTGATGTCACTCGTCTATCCATGATCACATGGATATATCACTTATAATCTCTCTGTAGCAGGATGGAGGTAGGATGGAGCTTAGACTTCAAGAAGAACTTCCCAGTGGGGAAGCTGGGGAGAAAGAGATGGCTCTAATTTGGCATAGGAAAGGAGGGGAACTCAAAGCGCTTTCTTTTCCAGTGGCTCTCCCGAAAGGCCTTGACCTTTGGCCTGGCGGGGTCGGTGCTGTTTGGATCTTGGAATATTTATTTTCTTTTTCCTCTCCCTGCTTGTGGCTGAAAGTATTCTGAGGCATTTGTCCTGGAGCTGTGGGAGAACTAGCCATTAGGCCCCTTTCTCCTAGTAGTGGGAACTAGATAGGGGTCTCATGTAGACCGGCATGCCCAATGCGGTCCACAGCATTTAGTGGTACACATGCAGGAAGGTGTGCAACGCATACACACTGGTATATAGACACCCACAGAGCAGCTGCTGCACTGCGGGAGGTGGGGGGTAGTGAATGGCAAAGATGATTAAAGGATTGGAGAGTTGGGATGGGTTTGAGGGGACCGGAGGCAAGAAGGCGAAGGGCATAGCAAGAACTTTGAAGAGAGAAGGGCTGACTGGAGCAGGAGGGATTAAGGTTAGACCACAGATGGGCAGGCAGAGCCCTGTCTGCAAAATAAAGAGCATGGCTTGTGAGTCAAGGAGCCTTGGCTGACTTCCATCCCTGCCCCTTACCCCTCCCTCACATGCTCCTCTCTGTGGTCCTGGCACAGCCTGCCTCTGCCCCTCACACTGACCATGTGTCCCCGGGTCACTCCTCTTGGGCCCCAGCTTTCCAGATGTACAGAGTTTCGCCTTTCGGTGATTAACACCTGGGTGTTTTGGTGGTTTGTCGCTGGTCTCTGTTGCCCTCCCCACTCACCTTGATGAACAAGGCCACTGTGAGGCATCAAGGCTACATCAAAGCCCTCAGGCATTTGGGGGTAGGTCCTTGGCCTAGGTGATCCCCAAGGCCCTCTTCATCTGACATTTTCCTTTTCCTGTGGCTGAGGCTACAAGCCTCTTTTTTCTGAGAGCCAAGTCATGCTTCTGGTTAGTCCTGGCTGGTGTGGAGACAGGGGAATGCATTCATTGATTCTGCACAGGACCCTGGTAACCAAGGGGGTGGGAGGCTCTTGTGCCTGTCTTACATCTCTTCTTTCTGCTGTAGGCTGGGAGGGGAGGGACATGTCCAAAGCTCTGGCCTGTCACTTGCCACACCCAGGCGGGACCATATTTACTCATTTAAACTTACCCTCCCAGGAGGCTCTGGGCTCTAGGCCTGGTCACTGACCTTGGCTTGTTGCCTCTGGCTAGGTGCTCTGGCCACTCTCCTAGGAGCTGGGCAGACCAGGAAACCATACAGAGGGAGGTTTTTTTTTTTTTTTTTTTTTTTGTCCCCTGGTCAAAGGAGCTTTACCCTCAGCATTACCCCACTTGCCCAACTTTCCAGTATACTTTGAAGACCAAAAACCAAAACTTTAAAATTTTTTTTTGAGGCAAGATCTTGCTCTGTTGTCCAGGCTGGAGTGCAGTGGTGCCATCATGGCTCACTGCAGCCTCCCATTCAAGCGATCCTCCCACCTCAGCCTTCTGGGTAGCTGGGACTCCAGGTGTGAGCTATCGTGCCCCG